TAGTTATTAACCATAACAACGTCTACTGTTTAGTTAAATTTTGCAAATCTATTAATGTATTACATGATAAACAGGCAGTCATTGATTACTAACTCTAATCAACGTCGAAATAAGTGGTTCCAGCGTCCCATTCGTTTCATTCGCGGTAAGAGTGGCAAGCTCGTGCTGTTGGTGCGGTTCCAGTGTTGCTGCTTGACCTGCTGCGCTGCAGTGGTGGCGCAGCTGCGGCCTTGCTTCCCGCGCTACGCCGCCTCGTCGTACGCTCTACGCGCTGGCGTTGCTCGAGCCTCCACTGCTGAGGGAAGATGGGATGCGGGTGAGAGAACAGGGCAGAGGGAAATGAAAAGGGAGCAGTGTGAGGAGACCAATGGATGCAGAGAGACTTATCCCTCTTGCTAGGGAATGAAGAGGAAAACATGACAGGGAGAGAAGGTAGATAATTAGGATAAATAGAACACAGATCTTGTTTTTCTATAAAGAATTAATATCTCAAACTGACCGATAAGGAATCAGGCTCTGTACCTCGTCCTGGATGAGCTCGAGCGGGTCCTGCGCCAGTTCGCACACCTGGAGAAGGCTGCATTCGTCCTCGTCCTCGGTCGCGATCTGGCGAAGGACTCAGAGGGAGGAAAGGACTGGCGGTAAGGGTGATGATAATGATTATGATAAGGCGAATGACGATAATCGTCTTGATAACGCTTACCTGATATGGATAAAGATATAACTAGTGATGTGGGTAGAAGGAGACTGAAAAAAGAGATAGAGGTAAAGAAAGACAATGGACAGACGAAGGGGGGCATAAAAGAGAAATAAACACTCCTTTAATAAGAAAAATGACGGTAATTCTTTAACGATCATCGTCTTGATAACGCTTACCTGACTGTATATATCCTGTATTTCAAGATCTTCTATAAAGATTTATAAATCACTAGCATTTCTTCTGCCAAACAGACTATTATATTCTCTGCCATTTACGAAGTGTCGAAGATTAATTCTGCTCATCATGTTCACAGAAGAAAGGATGGCCTTCATTGCCCTCTACAGAGCCCCGCGAAACCGGATATGATGGAAGTGCGGGATCTCGTTTCTCAATTTCGTGTGAAAGGTTTTCCAGTAGTTACAGACTTGTGATCATAAAGGAGTTGTAGAAAGGAAAATACAAAAAATGTTTAGCAAAACTAATTCAAGAAGGATCCACATTCTAAGTGCAGTCGAGTTAACCGAAGGGAGCGTAAAATCATACCTAGAGTACACAAACACACCACGGGTTCAGACCCACAGCCTGACATTCACTTACAAAAATGTCTTACGATAATACAAATATTAATGATAACAGTGATAGTAAAAATAACAATAATTGTAATAGAAATAATGATAACAACGGTAATGATGATCATCATTACCTTCATTATTATCATTATTATTATTATTATTATTATTATTATTATTGTTGTTGTTGTTATTGCTGTTTTGTTGTTTTTGTTGATATCATTATTATTATTACTATTATTATTATTATTATCATGAAGACGATGATGATGATAAAATAGTAGTAATAATATTGATAATAATAACAATAATAATAATAATAATAATAATAATAATGATAATGGCAACAATAGTGATAATAATAATGATAATAATAATGATAATGGCAACAATAGTGATAATAATAATGATAATAATAACGATAATGGCAACAATAGTGATAATAATAATGATAATAATAATGATAATGGCAACAATAGTGATAATAATAATGATAATAGTAATTATAATACCAATAATAACTACATCCCTAGCAAAGGCCCAGAATTCTGCGGCTCTCTAGGTGCCTTGTGTAGTATATAGTATATAATGATCGTGGTCCGTTCATTGACCTTCAATTACCTTAATATAAGTTGGCCTTCCTAAAACTTTGGTAAAACCTAACTGTATTTGCGCTCATTTGAAAGGTCTCTGTGAGCTGTAAAACATGGTCATAGTTTAAGCTGAATGTCTGTTATCCAGCCTCAAAAAAAGAATATTTCATAATGGCTCTGTTGACTCCCAGCGGCAAAATTTTGCCGGAGCAACCAGGTTGTGATATGTAATGATGATAAAGAAAGCTAAAAAAAATCATCCTCGGTTCATAAAAGAATAATGATAAGCTGTGAAAATAAGAACCATTAGTCACATCTTCAAGTACCAGCTTAAATATATCTTTTATAGATACAACAAAATAGGAAGAGATTCTCTTACAAAATCAAAGGTTCAGGTCCAGGTGTCCTGAAGTCCACTGCCTGAAAACGACGGTCTCCCGTCCCTTTATACAGCAAATGACATCTGCTGCGCCGTTACTCCTTGCGGTAATTTCCGAGAATCGATTTCCAGTAACTCTCGGATAGCTTTAGTTTCATTCTTTGATTTTCTTTTATTTGCTTGCTTATTTATCTACTGATTTGTGTCGTTTCAGGAGTTATTTTTTATACTTTATTGAAAAACAATTGCGTCATATTTGGTTATAATTATTAGACATATTATAGTCAAAACAATTTTTTTCCAGACTAAAGGAATTAATTTTTAGTGACTCCCATCTTAAAGTCTAATCTCATTGCGCCACGTACTCATGTACTACAACACATAATACACAAATCATATAATTATCTATTCCTGTTCTTTAGCCACATATGTGCTTTGCATTTGAAAGATTGCAAGGACTGAGCTTCCACATCGATGAAAGAAATTAGATTCCATAATTTGGAATATCTGGAGAGAAACTGTCGCTGGAGGTTCCTCCAGTGCGGCGGCGCTCATTCCACTGTTCTCGTGGGGCGGCAGCTCGTCTTCCTGGCAGTCTCATTGGCTGCAGGTGCGGGACGCGTTGGCGATGGATGCGGAGATCGTCGTCAAGCCAGCCACGTCTCTCCTGTGTTGAAGGCTGTCGAGGTTCAGTTGATACTATTGGGTCCTGTCTTCGATTATTTTCTTCGATCTTTCTTTTCTTCTATCCAAGATTTTGAGACTAGTGATGTTAGCTCTCCCCTCGCGAGGAAGGAGTACTCGAGTGGAGAGCGAATTTGTGCCATCTAGAGAAGCTCCTTCCCTTTACCGTTCTCTTCTCTCTCTCTCTCTTTCTCTCTCCCTCTCTCTCTCTCTCTCTCTCTCTCTCTCTCTCTCTCTCTCTCTCTCTCTCTCTCTCTCTCTCTCTCTCTCTCTATCTATCTATCTATCTGTCAATCTATCTATCTATTTATAAGTACCTTGCTGCACTTTCATTCTATACATCTCTTTCACTTTCTAGTTTACAATCTCCCCTTCCCTTTTCGTGTGTTCTAATATTTCTTGGTAACAAGGATCTTGGGTAAATCATGTAATGTCAAATGTTTTTTATTGTTTATTTAACAGTTCATTTATCAGGCTGTTCAACAAAGGCCTAATGTAAACAAAGTAACATCAGTTACTGAAACAGAGCGAGGTATCATTGTACATTAAAAACTGTGCCGGAGACAAAACGTCGTTATTCTTTAGATCTATTGATAATTATTTATTGAGCTTCTTTATAAAACTCCCCACTTTCATTGGCACCTCTTCACTTATCTTACAGAATTGGAATAATCAATTAAAAGTAGTGACTCCCCTGTCAGATTTAGTTGAGAGTGATGGCAGTGTTATTTGATGAGTATTTCCTGTATTCATCCATGACCTGCTGCGCGGTGAAGGCGCAGAGCGGGTAGCTGGTGGCGCAGCTGTGGCCCTCCTGGCCGTGCCACGCCGCCTCGTCGTACGTGCCATATACGCTGCCGTCACTCGGTCCTGCGCCGCTGGGGGGCAGGTAGAGTACGATAAGGGGGGAAATACATTGAAGTGAGAAGAAGAATGGGGGAAATAAAGTGGAAAGGAATGCGGGGAGAATACGAATGAAGATTAAATACATCTTCGCTCGTTCCCGCCTCGTCATGAGGAGGAAATGCAGTGCGAAATGGGAGAGGAGAGAGGTAGTCTTATAAGGCAAGGGAGGTAATATTCTTACACTTGGATTTCGTGTAAAATAAAGGGTTTGTTAACGTCTCAAAGTCTAATCACATTTCGCAGCAGCCCCGACTTACCGGTAAGGCAGGAGGATCTGTATCTCGTCCTGGGCGAGCTCCCGTGGGTCCTTCTGCGCCAGCTCGCACACCAGGCGGAGGCCGCACTCGTCCTTGTCCTCGGCCGCGATCTGAAACGAAAGGAAAAGGAGAGAAAAGAGTTTAGAAAATAAATTCAATGGTCAGTTATATAAATATTCTACATTTTATTGGAAAATGGAAAACGCTTTCATAAGACTTACAACTTTTTTCTCTATCTCTTTCTATCTGTCGATTGATCGATCAAAACAGTTTTCTTTCGCTTATCCGTTCGTCTTGCCTCTTCTCCCTTCTCTCCCCTTTTTCCTTCCCCCCTCCCTCTTCCCCTGTGGCGCTCGCGAAGGAGACATCAACGCGCGCGTAAGTAGTGATTCTCACCTTGACATACAACTCCAGCACCTTTGCATCCTCCACGAACTCTGCAATGCTTCTACGACGCCTCCTCCCGTAGTAGGAGCCACCGCCGCACCATCCGCAGGAACCGCCGCAGCCGCCGCAGCCACAGTTGTAGCAGCCGCCGCCGCCGCCGTGGTGGTGCTGGTGGTGGTGACCCGCTAGGTAGCCCTGTCGAGAGAATTCATCAAGGGACTCCTGCCTTCGCCTCAACCCTTGAACCGCTCGCGACGTGTGTGTGTGTGTGCGCGAGTGCGTATGTGTGTGTGTGTGTGTGTGTGTGTGTGTGTGTGTGCGCCTGCGTGAGTGTGTCTTATTTTCCCTCTCTTATCCCATTTCTCTGCCCATCCCTTACCCCTGCGAAGGCGAGAGCTCCGATGGCGAGGGGACGGCCGTGATGGTGGCCGTGGTGGTGGCAGCACGGCTCCCCAACACTCTTCTCCACCACGAGACTCGTCACCAACAATGCCGCCAACACTAATCCTGCTGCGTCCATCTGTTGGCGAGAGAGAAGTGCAAACAATGTTTTTTTTTGTGTGTGGGTCGGGGCTACATTACCATAAATATACAGAGAGGTAAGAAGTAATGGGGAATGGGAGAGAGAGAGAAGAAGAAAAGGAAACTGAGAAAAGGGGAAGGAAGGGGGGAGGGAGGTAAGGTAAGTGAAAGAATGTGAAGGAAGGAGGATAGAGGGGGAGCACAGGAGGCAAAAGAATCACACAGAGCGAAACAATGGGCAAAATAACCACAGAAAAAGAGAGAAAGAGAGAGCAAAATAACTATGTAGAGAGAGAAATCAAGTGAGTGACAGAGAGAGAGAGAGAGAGAGAGAGAGAGAGAGAGAGAGAGAGAGAGAGAGAGAGAGAGAGAGAGAGAGAGAGAGAGAGAGAAGGAAAGAGAGAAGGAAAGAAAGAGAGAGAGAGAGAGAGAGAGAGAGAGAGAGAGAGAGAGAGAGAGAGAGAGAGAGAGAGAGAGAGAGGGAGAGAGAGAGAGAGAGAGAGAGAGAGGGAGAGAGAGAGAGAGAGAGAGAGAGAGAGAGAGAGAGAGAGAGAGAGAGAGAGAGAGAGAGAGAGAGAGAGAGAGAGCAAATTTACCATAGAGAAAGAAAATGAAAGAGGAACATAGAGAGGAAGGGAAACCTAATGACCAGAGAGAGAGAGAGAGAGAGAGAGAGAGAGAGAGATGATAATAATGATATTAACAAAACCAACAATAATGTTAAAAACAACATCTACAACAACAATAATGATAATAATAATAATAATGATAATAATAATAATAATAATAATAATAATAATAATAATAATAATAATATTAATAATAATAATAATAATAATAGTAATAATAATAATAATAATAGTAATAATAATAATAATAATAATAACAATAATAACGATATTGATAACAATGATAATAATCATAATAATGATATTATTATCATTATTATTATTTTTATTATTATTATTATTATTATTATTATTATCATCATCATCATTATCATCATTATAATAACAACAATAACAATAGCAATTATAGTAATGATACACAACGATTATAATAATAATAGCAACATGTGCGTGTGTGTGTGTTTGGGTGTGCATGATTCATGCTGAACAAACTGTAAATAAAGCTACGAAGGGAAGATCAAGAAAACAGACGAACGAAGGCCTTTCCACTATATTTATGCCAAGAAAAAGAAATATAGCAAAAAAAAAGCCTTCGGCATATTTTTTTTTTTTCTCTCTCTCTCTTCCCTTCGCTTTTTTATTCACAATGTGTGTATGTATGTAGGCCCTAATACAATGCGCATGCACTGTTAGTGGCGCCGCTCACCTCTGCATGGATGTTCCTCAGTCCTCAGAACTCGAGATTGGCGAGAATCTGCCGTATATATATGCAGCAGAAATCAAGGAAGCGGGAGGGGGCATCGCAGGTGAAGAGGTTAACGTCCCTTTCAGAATAGAAGCTGGCGTATTTGCTCTCGTCTCTGGGAAACCCAAAGGAATCTCTCTTCTTTAACTCTCTCTGTTTAAATACTATTTTATGCATGTTTGTCTATGCACGTGTGTGTGCGTGTGTGTATGAGTATACACAAGCTGTGTATACCAAAAATGTAAGTATTGATCGCCCTTCTATGCTCTCATATGCTCGTATTGTGTTCGTTTACCCCAACCTACCATTATACAAAACGTACATATAGTGTCCAGTTAAATATACAAAGCACCAATGCCAGGGCGGCTGTGGGATCCTTACATAGAGATATAAATGTAGAGTTCGTTGTATCATACATCCATACATACATATAAATAAATAAATGAATACACACACATCTATATATCTATATATTTATCTGTCTATCTATCTATCTATCTATCTATCTATCTATCTATCTATCTATCTACCTATCTGTCTATCTATCTATCTATCTATCTACCTATCTATGTATATATATGTATATATATGTATATATATGTATATATATGTATACACACACACAGACATAAACACACACACACACACACACACACACACACACACACACACACACACACACACACACACACACACACATACACACACACAAACACGTGCGCGCGCTGTCTGCCTGTCTGTCTCTCTGTCACTCGGTTTCTCTCTATATATGGCTCTTTTGCTCGCTCTTTCAACAAAAGTGGCGGACTACACTCCCGGATAGATTATACATTATGTAGAAGAGAGAAGGCGAGGAAGGCGGCCAAGACGGTCAAAGGCATTACCGAAAGAGGAGCTTACAAAACAGCAGAAATTGGTGGATGTAAAATGGCAGTTCAAACCAAAGTAAACTGCGCGAAGAAAACAAGCTAGTGGAAGCTGAGTGAGATGGAACACAGAGAAGTTTACAAAAAGACTGAAAGAGGAATTAAACGAAGATGAGGGAGGTGCTGAGTTCGACGGAGAGGCCAGCGGCAAAGGGTGAGACTTCTGGGAAGGCAGGGAAGAAGTGAAGCACTTGGCGGTGGAATATGGGAGTTCAGAAGGTGATAACTATGAAAAGGCAGATGAAGAATGTGATATGAATAGGTGCGATGAAACAACTGAAAAGTACACGCAAGCAAATAAGGAAACAAAATAAGCGGTGGCAACAGCGAAACATGTGGCATTCAGAAATTTGTATTCCAGCCTGGAAACCAAAACCAAAAAGGAACAGGTGAAAGATAGTGAGAGTCAAATACTGACAGAGGGTGAGGAGATAAAAGAGATCTTACTTCGAACAACTCATAAATGTGCATAGTGAGAGAGTAGAGAGAAGAGTGCAACCGAGAGGAAAGGCAAGTGGAACAGGTCTCGGAAGAGAAAGTGGTAAAAGCATAATGAAAGATGAATCTTGGAAAAACAGTAGGTCCAGACAACATAGCAGTAGAGGCTTGGAAAGTCTTAGGCAGCACAAAAGATGTTTACAAAAGTTATGGAGAGGGAAGAGATGCCAGAAGAATGGAGAAGCACCATGTTTATCCCTATTTTTTAAGAACAAGGGGGGCATGCAAGATTGTAACACTTATAGAGGAATAACCTACCCTGAAGATCTGAGAAAGACTGATAGACAGGCAATTGAGGGAAAAAATGTCAGTATCGGATGAGCAGCTTGGCTTTTATTCCTGACGACATGTTCGCATTACGGCAGCTGATGGGTAAGTATAGAGGACGCCAAAATGAACTGTATTGTATGTTCAAAGATCAAGGGGAGACCAACGACAAGGTACCCAGTGTGAAGGTGTGGAACAGTTTACGGATGAAAGGGGTGAATGAAAAGTATATTGGTCTCATACAGGACATGTATAGATGCGGAAAAGAGAATATGTACCTCTTCTGGTAAACTAACTCTCCCAAGTGGCAATACCTTAGAAGTAGTGGTAGTAGTAAATAAACAAACTGTTTATGAATGAATGCCGTCTGAGTTTCAAGGTAAAGTACAATTCCCATCAGTCACAACAGGCACATTTCGAGATGCGTGGACTCCATGCATGCGTAACATCTACTAATTTCATCTGTGAATGGAATGTTCATGTTTATAACGAAGTTTGTAACCGGCTCATGAAATTTCGCAAATATCTCAACTAGTTACTACTATCAGCCCTAAAAAATATATATAAAAGTTAGTATATATTACGGTAAAAATAGAACAATTGGAACTGGCGACTTCAAAACAATCACGATCGCCAAACATCGGTGACAACGCTTTTCACTTGATTTTTTATTTAAATATGCATTTGTAAAGAGATATATAAGAGCTTCCGTCCAAATTATTAGTGGAAAAAAACATAATTTTGGGATGAAATATAGATCACATATTACTTCTTTTGCAAATGTAATCTGTAAAATTTTCTCACCTGACTTACTGAGATCCGGAATATACATTCAAATCACGTAGAGTAATTCCCTTTAAAAAAAAAAATCAAGGTTTGCATAGGAAAATTTGGGTCAGATATTTCCAACAGGTCATCAAAAATATTTATATCAATCATGGTCCAGGTCGATATTGGCGTTTTAGTAAATGCTATACTTGTACACATCAAATCTCATGCATCCGTATCGTTCTATATCCTGGCGATAAGTTGCCAATCTCTCTTCATTAACTCTCCCTTTTAATGTGAATATATGGAATGATAAGGAGTAAAAAAAAAAACTGATTCCCTGTCCTTATCAATTTTCAGTCATCGAGTTGTATTTAATAATTATACAGAGAATCTCTTGAATTAAACGAACATATTCCAGGATATTACATTTTTAAAAATATCTTGCGAGTATGATATATACTTATATAATTATTTAATTCTCTCTCTCTCTCTCTCTCTCTCTCTCTCTCTCTCTCTCTCTCTCTCTCTCTCTCTCTCTCTCTCTCTCTCTTCTCTCTTCTCTCTCTCTCTCTCTCTCTCTCTCTCTCGTCCTCTCTCTCTCTTGCCCTCTCTCCCCCCTTCTCTCTTTCTCTCTCACCTTCGCTCTTTCCTTCCCTCGAATGGAATATTGAGATGGAAGAAACGTCCTCAACAACTAAAGTAGTGTTCATGAATATTACTAAACAAGCAACTATGACTCAAAACACTGGTTTCGTATTCAAAAAGAAATTCAAACATAAGTACCCATATTTCTATCTAAATTACTTTTTGACTGTTGTAATGTTTTAAATCATAGAAATACATACAAATGAGTAATGAGAACCTTGCAGAAAAATCACAAATGAAAATTATACAGGAAATTCTATATGTATGTATGCGTGTGTGCGTGCGTGCGTGTGTTTATACATATATATATATATATATATATATATATATATATATATATATATATATATATATATATATGTGGTGTGTGTGTGTGTGTGTGTGTGTGTGTGTGTGTGTGTGTGTGTGTGTGTGTGTGTGTGTGTGTGTGTGGTTTATTTATCTATTTATATCCATATATATATACACAAAGCACCATTGGTAAAACTATATATAATGAATAAAACAAATGAACGGATTAAC